CTTTTGCGATTGTCCCTGTCAGGGAAAAAAAAAAATCCCCACCGAACCCCACGTTTTCATCTTTTGAGTGTTTTATTTAAGCCAATGGCAAGGTATTGAGAGCAGTAATTGATTCATAATGATCCATAAATCGATGTCGGAAAGCGGGGGTGGGAGGTGGAGGTGTATGAAGAATGGGGGGGGGATGCTGTTTATTTATTTTATTTCTAGAGCTTCAGCTAAAGTAGCTTTGACACTGTTGGGGCTGGAGGGGAGGAGCTGTTGGGCTCTGCTGGATCATCCATCATCGCTGTCACCCAGAGTCTGCCCCGAGGAGCCGTAGACGCAATCTCCCTTCTGTCTCTACACCGAAACTATTAATATTAAAACCTCCCTTCAAACGCTGCCCCGACGGTCTCCATTCTCATCACAATCTGACCGGCCTCCCCCATCAGACCCGCATTTCCCCTGTGCCGCAGCTTCCTCCCAGCCCGGGCCCCGACGGAGGGAGCTCCACGACCGCGCGCGACGCCCTCAGTTGATGACTGCAACTTTTCAGTGCCCCGCTGTCCCACCTCCATCAATTTGAAGCACGTCTGTCTACTAATGTCTAACACACATACACACACACACACACGCACACACACACGCACGCACGCATGCACGCAAAGGGAAGGCCAGGTGAGGGCGGGGGCCTCCCGCCCGGAGGAGAGTCTGCACGCCTGCTCGCCCCTCTGCCCCTATCCTACCCTGCCACCTCCCAGGCTCCCAGACGCGCGTCCACATCAACCCCGATCGGTGGGCGACGAGGGAAGGTGGCTGCAGAAGTGAGAGCCACTGGGCACATCCACACACCCAGACACCGGCCCTTCTAACACAGTGGCAACTTGCAGCGGAGGTCCAGGCTCCTTATCAAATTGCCGGCCTGCAAGACTAATGGGGAACTTGTGGAGGATCCCTGTCCAGTGCCTTTGAAGGAAGGTCCCTCCTCTGACAGCTGCTAGAGATATTAGCCACATTTCCCTTCCTAAATCTGCTCCGGGTTAACAGGCCCACGGGGGGCGGGAGGGGACGAGGAAGCTAGGAGGATCCTGACTGACTCTTATGGGCAAATCTAACTAGGGTGGGCTGGGGAGAGTGGGGGACCCTGACCTGGGGAGTGGGGAGAACGGATGGTTGGAAGACACAGACTTTTCTGGTCTTTTTCTCTTCTTCCTTTAAAATGTGGCTTCTTGCTCAATTCCCAACCCTTAACAGATGGCGACTGCAGTTCTCTCAGAATTTCTTAAAGAAAGGGAAACCTTTGGAATTTATTTCTGCTTTTGCTTTTCCATATAAATAAAAAGTGTTTTTATATTACTCTTGTTTTGGAGAACATAAGCAATTTTATTCAGACTACAGTATTTCCTTTAACACTATATGGTTGTCAAAACACCATTCCCAGTTTCTTTGCTTTTGACAGCTGAGTCTTTCTTAAATATACCCAAATCGGAACTCTTTATACTAAATAGTAAACCCGAGATAGGAGGAAGCGCCTTCCGAGGTTGTATAAAAAAGGCATTATACAAATTGGACAACTCTACCACCTCTCAATCTTGGCATATGGCGGGTGGGGGGAGGTGAGCAAGGAAATGCAAACAAATATTATTACAATTATTATTCGTCTCCAAATATTTAAGAGGGTTAAGGTTAACATGCTAGGATGTGGCTTTGTGGAAACTAAACCTGAGATTATTTTATTCATTAAAACCAAGGGTAGAAAGCTCTGAGATCTAAATGTCGATGAAATAGCTTAATAATAATTGCATTAAACACTTCTTAAACGTGAGCCAATTAACAAGCAAACCCTTCAGCATTTACTTTACTGAGAAGAAAGGAAGAAAAACTGCCCAAAAATGTTCAGCCGATGTGAGAGTTAATTTATAAATGAAGAACTTGTCAAAATTTACCTAAATGCAATTTGAGTAAAAGTATACAAATATTTAAATTTCCCAAAAAACTCCATATAAAATGGGGTCGTGAAAGTGAGAGAGGCCATCTCTTTTCTGAGTGGCACAGAATTTCTCCATTAACAGTTTTATTTCTAATAGAAATAAATAGAAATAGTGTTATTTCTACGTTTAAGCAGCAGCACATTAAAGTTATATACGTATTTATAAAGATTCCACGTAACTAAAAATAATACAAAGCAATAGAAGTTTGTTTTCTTGTTCCTTAGTATACAACTTCTATCAATGTCTTCTGTGATGAGAAGATGGAAGAACCCCAAATAAGATACAAACTTGGATTTCTGAGATGGTAACTATTTCCCTATTAGTTGACATCACACAACTAGCTAAAGTTTATATTTCTCCTAAACATAAGATTCAAAACTTAGGTCTTACAAAATTCCAGGCTAATATATTTACTGGAAAAATTAAGGGGTCATGCAAATACCTCACACTTATTCACTTTGCACACTTTAGCAGGCATTGTTTGTGCAGTATCAGTAAGCTAATGACAGATTTCCAGGAATGTTGCATGAGATTTTGAAAACGGCATTATACTGCCTGTTGTTTTAGGGGAAAAAAATAATTTAATCACCAAATCATCACTAGTGTGCCTGTACATGGAGGTGTTTGAAATAAAAAAGACATCATAATATAATCTATATTAAATATTAATGGTTAAGTAATCTTTTCAACTCAGGATTTCAAACTCCATAGAAGTTGTTTACTCATCTATGAACATCTATATGTAAATTTTAATTTAAATATTCAACAGTATTTTAGTAAGTAAGACAGAGAAAAAAAACACAGGCAGATGAATTATCTTTGAGCACAGACGTTAGTTATTTCTTATGATGTAAAATTAACCCTGCAAAAGCCCTTTATTCTGGCAGAGGATGAACATACATAGCTTTATCTGAAAGTATTTTTTTTAACATCATGCATCTAAAAAGGAGGTTGGACACATTGAAGATGATCTTTCAACCTGGAGCATGAGTGCGCGCGCGCGCGCGCACGCACACATACACACACACACACACACACACACACACACAATTTCGTACCTTTAGAAGTTTTCTGCTGGAGGAATTTATAGGCCAAACACACACTGAAAGGCTACAGATGGTTACCTTAAAAGTTGTTGGTAAGTTAAGTTTCAAACATACTCAACTTCTGGGGACAAAAATCACTCGAAGTAGGCTTTGAACACCATATATAGTAGGCATTGTGCAACCTTGCCTTAAACTATTAAAAACACAAAAGCCTAACAAAAAATCAAAAATGAAATATTTATTACCGCATTTTGTGACTTAACACCTTTTTTTTAACATAACGTCACAGTCCTCATACAAGTATTTTAATGTAAATTTGACAAAGCTTAAAGGTAACAGCATTTTCTTCTAGTGAGGAACACGTGCTGAGAAAAGAATTCATGGACATACAATACCAATTCCACAGCAGATCTGATACTAGCAAAAACATTCTTTTTTTTTTCAATTGAGGTAAACACATAGAATATCTAACATGAAACAATTAATAGACTGAACTCTGTACGAAGTTTGTTACAGTATTCTCTTGCTCCTTTTTTATCCCCCAAGCTTTGAGTTTCTGATAAAGTCCTAGTTGTGGTACTATGACCACTAATAACTTCTGTTGTGTTGAGGAAAGCTGCCCAACTTAAGATTGTTTCGTCCACAGCCAAGGCTTAGAACTCCTGGAAGAAGCTCCTGCTCTGTCTTTAAATCTTCATTGGCAAGCTCTTTGAAGAAGAGTCCTCCAAAATAATAATAAGAGTTGGCTTATGAAGCACAAACTATAAAGATCTGTTTGAAACTAAAGGACACATTTATGGAGGAACAAAGGCCGGGCATGAAAACACATTCTTGAAGCTGGAGTCTGAGGGATGAGGTTCAGCCGCACGTTGTTCGCCGTGGTCTCCAGCGTGGTTCTTTTCTCATTGGCCCAACAGGTTTAAAATATACCACAGTCTCTCTTGGATAGTGAATTCACTGATGAACCAAAAACAGTCATTCTTTTGGGAACAACACACATAGTGTGGAAAACAAGGATATATTTATTTTTTTTCTCTTCTAAAACTATTTGAGGCAACATAACGGAGTGATCAACAGAAATGTACAAGTTTAACTTAGTTCCTATGTTTATACTACAGTAGTTATAACTCTCGGAGTCTTTTTCCAGAGGATCTTTACATAGACAGAATCGTCTCAGTGAGCCCATGATTTCACATTTGTGTTCTTGTCTCATTGGTCCTCTGTTGCTTGATGAAAAATGACAAAAGTAAAAAATAATCACAGCTGTCTGGAATTTCATATTAAGTGTCAACATCTGGTCAAAGTTCAGAAAGTCTTAAAATAGTTTTTGCGTGTGTTTCCTTTTCCCTTGAGTTCCCTTATACTATTGGGCATGAATGTCCATAACCTGTCCGCCAACACTGGGATCTACAGAATTTAACATTGTGGGACTCGGTGCTGACATAGTCATTCCAGGGTGGGTAGGGGGTCCTCCGTGCATCATCATGGCTGGGTGGTGGGGATGGCTTGGCAAATACGAATGCATTGGGGGTCCATGTCTTAATTGAGTAGGGTGTGGGGTCATCTGGGGAGGAGTGTAACTTGGCTGTGCCATACTCATTCCCATAGGACCACCCTGAGAAACATAGTCCCCTGGCATGCTCTGCAAACCTAAAAAGAGAGAGGGAAAAAGAAAGCAGGTCAAATTCCTAAACATTTTTATACTTTACCCATCAAAGATGAAAAGAAAAAAAAAAAAACAACAGACACTGCAAATCTTATATCTAAATTTAGCTGCAGATTCTTGCCAATGTTTGCAGACATTCAAATTGTAGTTTGCATTTAATTTCATCGCACAGCAGTATAATGCAACACAACAGAACTAAATATTTAATGCAACTAAATGTCATAAAGTGGAACTGTTTTTCAAAATGGTATTCAGTACATTTCTTTGATAAATGCAATAAGAATATAAATTCTAAGTCAAGTTTTATCAGTTAACTGTTGATATATCATTTATTTTCCTTTGTTGCATTTAAAGATACAGCCAAAAATTGTAGATATTAAAATAAAATTGACATCTTAACATATCTATATTTCTTCATGAAAAATTTATTACACAAAACATTATGGCATATTCATTTTGAAGGGATGGGCTTTTATGTATATTTAAAATGGAGCCCTTTTTTTGAATTAGAGGCATTCTCATAGCAGTACACCCAAGAGATTGTAAAGGTCGAAGGTAAGAAGTCAATGTAAGGTCATATGACATGCCCAGTATTTTATGTCTGAAAATTCCAAAAAATAATGCCGTGATATTAGGAATAAAATAGAGCACATCTAGAAGTCCTTAATCAAGATACATAAGAGTTGAAGTTGTGAGTTAAAATGTTGGAAAGTAAGCAGTTGAAGGATTCTTATTTCTCTTGCAAGTTACCTGTTCATTGAATTAAGGTTCGATTATATTTATTGTTGCCCATCCCAGAGCTAAAAGGACAGCTTGATTCACCTCTATTTAACCTCCAGTACATACAGTTGAAAAGCTGAAC